ATAGTCCACCAGGAGGCGCCAACACAAAAGTCAGAGACTTCACATGAGATTTGGGCCATCTTGTGGGGGAAAAGCAGATTACTTCCTACTCGTAAGCGCCCCCCTCTGGTCGGGAAACTTTTTTCAGGGACACAAACTTTTTCAGAACACCGGTAGACAGCAGCCATTACAGACGAACATGTGTTTGTTGTTGTTCAAGGAGAGGCCCAGTCACACACTAATGTCATTAGTTCGTTATCATTACTAAGGTGCAGGACTGTTTTTTTCTTTAATTTTTTTCACATCATGTTTCCTGCCTGGATCTGTTATTATCTCGCTCTGAAGTATGGAGAAGTGTCAGAGGTAAGCTCGCTTCAACTGCTTTTTACGATGCAGTCTCATTTCCGGACTCAGGCATTTTGTGAATGAAGCCGATATTTCAGTTAAAATACATAAGTAAAAATATATATCTGAGTATAGTACTACCCTCCAACTTTATGGATGATTTTACGGATTAAATTTTACGTATTATACTTGAATAAATACAGTAGGTTCTGTGTCAGAAGATCTGACAAACTGAAAAGATTGAGCAGCACAAACAGATCTCTGCTATCCACCATGGTTACTGTTGCTCATCTATTCATGCAGCGCAGAAAAACTGTTGACTGCACCCGTCTGTGTTGAACCTGTTGGCAGATGTTTTCTACAAATGTTGTACAGGAACAGCTAAAACTCAACACAAGTGTTATGGGATCACTTATAAATGAAAAACTACTCTTTTAAAGGGACAATATCACGTAAAATCAAAATTTTTGAGTATGGTATAGTATTTAAATGTATGCCTGAGAAACACATAATATTGACCCTTTAATAGTTGCATCTCATTGAATACCAGCTTAGCCATGGTATCCATCTTGAATTAGAGAGACTCCAGAGGGTCATACTTCCACCGACTTCCTGAGAATTTCATTAAAAATCCACCCACTGGTCCATGAGATATTTTACTAACAAAGTATGTTTCTCTTCTGAATACATTAAAGTCTTTCAGTGAAGAACCTGACAATCATATTTAAATATGTGTGTGTTTTTAATGTTTCACATGATGTAAACCTTCACAAATATTCATRCAGATGATAGACTGTTTCATTCTAAAAATAAAAAGTGCCACATTTTTTTAGGGATTTGGACTTTTTCCAAGTTTGAAATGAGAGCATACCAAGATTTAAACCTTTAATATTCTTTACCAACCTGTAGCAGAGCCCACAATATCCCTGGAAGGTGACTCAGACATGGCGTCTGCTAGTCTCTCTCTCAGGCCTTCATCACTTGCGTCTGTGGATCCGACGATGTGCCGTGGCACACTGAAGCTCTCCGGCCAGCTCCCACACACCTCCAGCAGCGTTATGCCACGCCCATCAAAAGGCCCTGCAGAAACAAACAAAACAAAACAAAACAAAAAAAAAACACAAATGAGCTGAGTTAAGATTACTGTGATTTCCAAAACCACTGTAGCACTGAACAAGAACAGCTGGATCAGTTTTGTTATGAAATTATATTTATAACTTTTATTTACACTTAATGCTACATCTCATGTTTACGGAGCCCGCGAGGGGACACGGGGGATTATTTTTTTCTTTTTGCGTTCCCTCGTCATTTATCACTGTTGTGCCTGCCGGTTTATTAACAAACTCACATGTTCACCATTAGCGAGTTAGCCCACTGCTATAATTCAGCTTCAGAATGAATATATCACACAGCCCCTTGGAAGTATGTCATATGCCGATATTTTAACACAGTGCAGCCACGCAACATCAATGTCAACTTCACGAACTTGTGGCGACACATCCTGTTTTGGTAACCGGATATTTCAAAATAAAAGTCTGATTTACTTCAGTTCATATACGAATCAAACGTTTGCGTGGGAACGCAAAACAATATTGCGAGGTAATGCAAAAGTATTGCGAGGTAACGCAAAAGTATTGCGAGGTAATGCAAAAGTATTGCGAGGTAACGCAAAAGTATTGCAAGGTAACGCAAAAGTATTGCGTGGGAACACAAAAGAAAAAAATCCCCCCATGTCCCCTCGTGGGCTCTGTACATGTTCACTTTAACTACAGATCAATATTAAAACCTAAAAAAACAATGAATAGAAGAGAAACTACAATATTTATTATACACTCTAAGTATTTACACTACAAATCTTTCTGATAGCACATTAAAACTCTTTGTAATTGAAAGAAATCATTAGGAAGTAGAAACAAAAACCAGCATCTCTTCACTTTTCTTATTGAAGTTCTGTACTTCTCCAGACACARCTTATCTGCTGTATTTTTTAAAGACAGAACAGCAAAGCAGTGCTTGCGATAAAAAAGTTTATTCAGATTCTCAGCACAGCACAACCACCTGCCTCCACCCGACACACAATAATACTAGCATTTTTCAACTTAAGAACGACTACATCAGTATATCAGTAATATTACAATTCAAATAAAACAAGTTAAATTATGAATTAAATATGTATTTTTAATGGACTAGTGTATTTTGAATCTAGTGATTCTCATTATTATGAATTTTTTAAAATTATTTTAGCAAAATAAATGACATGAACCAATTACTGTAATGATTACCATTACTATAAGTTAACAGTAGTTTTGTTGGCATGAAATTAAAGTCTTGCTCCTACAAGTCAAGGCTTGAGTTCCAACTGTAGAAACCTAGAAAGGTTTATACCAAGTTAAAATAATGCACAATGTTTGGACATTTTCTTTTGCTTTAACTTGGGTTAGTAAGATTAGTATTTGACTCTAGATATGAGAGTCACTGCCTGATGTAAAACATTTAAATATTAGAAAAACTTTAAGAACACTACTCTGAGAGCGAGTCAGCCCCTCTCTTCACCCAAATGTCCAAGAAACAGGGCTGCAGGTCAGATAACACAATTACAAAACTGATCATTGACCTTTGGCCTGGTACCAAGTAGACCTACGGACCACCCTATGCCCTGACATGGTGCTCGTTATGGACAAGCCTGGCCTAGAACAGAAGTTCAATAACACAGCGCTGTTTGAATTCAGATCAGGGAGGCTGTTCCCCCCAATTACCCCTTTCCAGAAAACTCTGTTATCACCCACATGGGGACTGAAGCCACCGAGTAGAAGAAGGGAATCCCATGATGACACCCCTTCCAAGAGACCATCAAGAGAACCCAGTAGAAGAAGGGAATCCYACGATGGCACCCCTTCCAAGAGACCATCAAGAGAACCCAGCAGAAGAAGGGAATCCCACGATGGCACCCCTTCCAAGAGACCATCAAGAGAACCCAGCAGAAGAAGGGAATCCCACGATGGCACCCCTTCCAAGAGACCATCAAGAGAACCCAGCAGAAGAAGGGAATCCCATGATGGCACCCCTTCCAAGAGACCATCAAGAGAACCCAGCAGAAGAAGGGAATCCCATGATGGCACCCCTTCCAAGAGACCATCAAGAGAACCCAGCAGAAGAAGGGAATCCCACGATGGCACCCCTTCCAAGAGAGCATCAAGAGACTCCAAGAAGGCAGAGTAAACTTAACGGATGTTTGGTGCATAACAAACAACAGTCAGAAGCTTCCCTCCTGCAGCTCAAAGCAGCAGAAAGGACCCCTCAACATGGGGGCTTGTTTAGAATGGATCCCAAACCACCTTCATTCTAAAGTATGAAGTCTTGACCAGCTGCTCTAAGTGTTCAATGAAGTCCGACTGCATGCACATGAGTGAGGACCAGTGTGCTGCAGAGTACTTAGTCTCTACGGAGAAGGTCTCAGTCTAGCTTTGTTAACATACAGTGGAACGCCCGCGTGCCGTTTTTGGTTTGTTTTATTTTGAAATGTCTTTCTGTGTTTCCGATCTATCTATGTCCGTGNAGTTATTGGTCCATTTTATTATCGGAGCATGTTGCCTTCAGAAATAACTTCTATCATGATAAAAATTAAAAGGGATCTAAATAAATCTATTATTCACAAATAAATCATTTCTAAAGTATTTTAACTGAATGTTTCTTTTGTGTCTTTTGGTTTTGTACTATTTTGATGTGTTTAAGTCGATTGCTTTCTTTTAAAAGTGCTGAAGTTGGATCTCTTTGTTTCTGGGAGTTTGAGCTGGTTATTTTGCTTTGTGGATTATGTTGATCAATTGTTTTGATATGTTTTTTTATGTTTTTGTTGGACCCCAGTAAGAGTGGAGATCTGAAACAACAAGTACTAGAGATTCCCATGGCACAACCATGCTTCTGACTGTTAAAAATTTCACTATACTTGAAATAATTGGGCATCTGGCAGGATACAAAGTGAAATGAGTCATGTTGTTTAGGTCATATTTTGTATCTGTTAGCATTCAGCGGAATGCCCGCGTGCCATTTAAAGGTTCATTTTGTTTTGAAACGTCTTTTTGTGTTTCCGTTCAACCTGTGTCCATGTTCAATGCATCAAAATGGCCGTCTAGGACCTCCTCTTTCGATCGACACCTCATTTGACCAACTGGGTTCAACTGTCGGCCCTCCAGAGCCAGTAATCAATGAGAAGTGACCAACTTCTAGTTTCCATCATCCTGGACAAGATTGACTGTAGAAATGTCCAGTCAGCTCCGAGCTTCGTTCTGATGCCACAGCTGTGTAGCCAATCACCGTACCTTCCATTTGGTGTTTATATATACTGAGGGAGTGGAAACTTTGTTTAATGAAGGGACAAGCTAGGAGTTAGTCGCCATTTTTAAGCAGTTGTGCTACGCTTCCAAACGAAGCAATGCTCACAGGAAAAAAATTTTTTCCATTGTTTTTTGGCCAGTTAGCTGACGAAACCTGCTGATAAGATGAAAATATATTTGTTATTAAGTGTTTCGAGTGCTTCAAGGCATGGAAGAGTGATTTTTGTGGCCAGGAGAAGTAAAAATGTTTGAATGAAAACAATGGATCTGCCATTTTGAGTCGCTAATTTTGTCATATTTGAGGACGAATATGCATCAAAAGTAAGTGAAAAACAAATATTATTTCGCTGCTGGTGTTTTTATAAGCTGTGTGGAATGTTAATGTTTTGAAGAAAATTAGGATATATTTGTGTTTTGGTCGTTTTGGTTTTGGAAATTGGAGGAATGTACTCCAGGTGGTATTAATATTTCAGAATATTATTTTTTTTAATCATGCTGTGAGTAAATATGGATGGTAGAATGTGTTTTGTGTGGGTTTTGTCTTTAATTTGAGCCCAGAGTGAAGTTGAAGCATTTAGAAATTACAGTGTTTTAGACAAAGTGTACAGTTTGGACATACTATAAAATGGAAATGGGGCATGCTGGATTGTACTATATCTCAAATATTCATATTTTATGCTACTGTTACCAAATTTGAACTGGTAATAGCTGTGAATTAATATTTTAGCCCAGTAAAATTT